AGGATAAGAAGATGGGTGTGAGGACAGGTCCACCAGGCCCGGCCCACGAGGCTGTGGGCTCTGCACTGGGCAGGGTCGCTTCCTGGAACACTGAAGCTGGGAAGCTCCACAGTGGAGCTCTATGGGGCCCTGGACCTGCTCTGGCCCCTATGTGCATGCTGCCTTCTGGCTGAGGAAACTGCAAGAAGAACCCACTTGGTTCTGTGTAAATGCAAAGAAGAAAAACCAAGAAACCACAGTCCTTAGTTACAAGGCTAAAAACCACTGAAAAGAGTTTTGTTTTGGGAGCAGGAGTCTGCTCATAGGTATAATATATCACCTTTAAAAGCTGTGCTCCTTAAATGGGTTAAAAACATGACCACCTCACTGTCTTACCTTCTCCAAGAGTTTCAGTGTCAATCGAGTCATCTGATCTGCCACTGAGGAGTCCAGCATCCTGGGACCACGGGAGAGGAGATACCCAGGTCCACCTCCCTCCCTGGTTCTCAGTCATCTGAAGGAAAGAACTGCTCAGCTAGAGGGAAGCAGCCCCAACACTGGTGCTATTGGAGGATTCCCATGCTGGGCTTGGTCACCTCCTGGAGACCGGCCTATGCAGGAGGGTGGCCACATCCCCCTAGACTGCAGAGAGTCCACAGCTCACGCGGCATCGCCTTGGCAGTTGCTGGGTGCTGCAGACACAGGGAGGCCCCAGGTTGCCAGGTTTCAGCGGAGAGTCCCTCCCAGGCCCCGCCTGTTCCACATGGGGGTTACCTGTAAACACTGCTGATACCCAGGAGTGGCCAGAGTCTCAGTGGGAAGGCAAAAGTGGTAGCAGCTGGAGACAGAGGGCAGTGTGTAGTCTTGGGAGGGAAAGTTCCGATGCACCCATGCACCACCCACAACCTCGGGACAGAGCCCAGAAGAGTGTGGGGTGGGAGGAGGGGGCGGTCGCATCCATCCTCCATGCACAGCAGGGGCCTGCCACCGCCTTATCCATTACCACCTCCTAGAGGACATCATACCCCTCTCAGGGACCCTCAGAGCCAGATAGATGGGAGTGAAGCTCAGACACTGGGGCAGGGAGAGGGGATCACCTGCCTGTGTATTTTAGGAAATTCTGGGTGACAGCAGGGGTAGCACCAGGGAGCTGGCCAATGACCTACCTAGGGACTTCTGGGTGGGGCTCATAGTGGGCCCACCCCACAGGCACCTAGCTGGCACCTCGAAGGACACAGGGCCACCCGGGGACACCACCCCTCCAGGAGGGGATGTGACTCCAGCATTGGGACTGCCCTGCGGGGACCTCAGCCCAGGGATGGGGTTTGGGGGTGGATCCTGGTGGCCAAGGGATTGGGGACAGCTGGGGGCGGAACCTCCAGCCAGGTCAGCACTCTGTTGTGACCCACCTGCAGCCAGGGCTTGTCTGCAGGGCTGCAGATGGTGGGGAGTGCACTTGGCAAGGGAAGCCTTTTATAAATGGTGCTGTACACAGAGGCCAGGGCACAAGCAGATCAAGATGGCCCTTCACGTGCACCGGCTTTCCACTCCAGATTTACAAATCAGTAAACCTGACTCATGATTTGAAATTGGAGCCCATGACCAGGGGCCGGGTCTGGGAGGGAAGCAGGGCGTCAGCAGCTTACAGCCCACTCCTCAGTGCATGTGACCTAGAAACTAGCATCAGATGGCCCAAATTGGGCTAGAAGTCCCTTAAAGTGCCCATACACTTCAGTATCTATGGTTTTATATGTAACATAATCCTAACATTCAAAGAGATCTGAGTGTGCAGAAAAACTAGTCAGTTTAGCTAAGCAACTCAAGGTATCTAGGAGGTAATCCCAGTGGTAAAAATAACACAAAAACCCAGTGGGTATGAGTTTGTTAGAGTTTTTTAAAAAATAACTTTATTTTTTAAAACAGTTTTAGATTTACAGAAAAATTGAGAAGATAGTACAGAGAGTTCCCATGTACGGCTTCCCCTATTATAAACATCTTGTGTTAGTATGATACATTTGTTACAATTAATGAACCTATGTTGATACACTATAATTAACTAAAGTCCATATTTCATTTGATTTACTTATTTTTTTGCCTATTGTCCTTTTTCTTTCCAGGCACCAGTCCAGGGCACCACATGACATTTAGTCATCGTGTCTCCTTTGGCTCCTCTTCTTTTGATGACCCTGACAGTTTTGAGGAGGACTTGTCAGGTATTTTGTATGGTGTCCCTCTACTACTAGGATTCATATGATGTTTTCTCATGATTGGACTGGGTTTGTGGGTGGTAGGAGGAAGACCACAGAGATGAGGTGCCCTTCTCACCACAACACACCCAGTGGGCGTGCCATCCACGTGGCCTGTCACCATGGGTGTGGTGGGTGTGGACATGACCCCTGGCAGAGGGGCATCTATCAAGTCTCTCCACTCGACATCCCTCCGTCCCTCCACACTCTGTCCTCTGTGGAAGGAGGTGCCATGCACAGCTTGTACTTAAGGAGTGGGGGGCTATGTTTCCCTCTTTGAGGATGAGTATCTACATCATTTATTTGGACAGCTTTTTAGTTACTAAAAATAAATTAAGGCTCAGATGCAACATTTACAGAACTCTGACCCTGTGGTCTGCTGGTGCTGCCTGCTTGACCCAGGGTCTTATGAGCTTCATGTTTGCTAATACCACTCAATTCTACCAGCTAAGACTGGAAACTCCACTCCTCACACAAAGGGGTGTGATCTGACTCTGGAGGAGGAAGGCTTTCTGCTGGAGTTGAGTGGTCGAGTTTCCAGCTCTCTGAAGGAGATTTGTTTAAGTTGTGGTTGCTTAGAATCACAGGTTCTCACTGAGGTTGAAAGATGAGCTTGTGTCAGCACGGTGTCACCACAGCTCATTATTGCCATTACTCAATCTCAGAGAAGAGAGCACACAGCCTGCACACAAACCCTGTCCAGGGAAAGGTCCAAGAATGGTGAATGGAACAGAAGGAAACCCAGACACCATGGAGCCTTTGCTGTGACGTGCCCTGCACAATCATGCTTTGTATGCCACCTTCTCTCTAGTTGCCCGGCACCAGAAGTGCTGTCATCCTTCCCAGTTCCACAATGGCCCAGACCTGTAGAAGGGCGAGATTCAGGGGTGTTTGTTTACACTTCTCACATAGGGAAATCGGGGCACAGCTGTTCACTGGTTTCCTGGGTATCTTCCTGAGTTTGCAGCTCCCACGTGTGCTTGGCATCCGCCTGGACTCGGTGGTTTCCTAATCCAGCAACTGAAATGTGGTGTTATTCTATTTATAGACTTTAACCCGGGGGCTTTGCTTTCACTTTCCTTTAATAGCAAATGGGATGCTACCAATAGTGATAAGAAAAAGTAAAACGAGACCAAGAATGTCTCATTTAGGTAAGGATCACCACTTGGTGAGGGCCCCCAGGTGCCCACCTGTAACCCAGGTAGTTACATCAGAGTAACAAAGAGGTGCAGGTGGCACGCTTATATCAATTAGTCAGAGTTTATCAGCTTCCAACGAGCGTGGTTACACTGACAGCATTTGATTGTTAATCTGAGCCAACGGTGGGCTAGGCATAAACACCCCACATTGTTTCCTTATCTGGACAAACAGGTTCAAGTGAAGTTTGAAGCCAAGGAACAAACAATGATTTCATAAGACTTCAGATTCCACAGAGACCGTGAAGTTATAACCAGTCACATTTTCTTTTTAACTTTTAATACACTTAAGAGCAGTTTTAGGTTCACAGCAAAACTGAACAGAAATTACAGCATATTCGTTTTTAATAACCACTTAGAAGGTATTTGGAACGATTTAGCCAGAGCCTTCGAAGCCGTAAGCCTTTTCCACTCCAGAAGAGGCGGTTTTGCCTCTCTCTGAAACAGCTCTCCCCTGGTGATCTAGAACCGGGTACAACCGCTGTGTCGTTCGAACGGCTTGCTCCCGGAATCCCCCTCCTCAGGGAGATCACAGGCTGCCGGACAAGCAGGCCCCTGGCGCCCGTCCGTCCCGGGGTCCAGAGACTGTCCTCGTGGGGGCGGCCGGCCTCCGGGTCGCGGGCCCGCCCGCCTCCCCCTCCTTGCTGTCCAGCGCACGTTGCCCGCGGACACCGGGCGGCCCCTGCGGACGCGAGGTGGCCTCAGTGCGCCCCGCCCCTTGGGGGCCGCCTCCGCCCCAGGGTCACGCACAACGACCGACGGACGGCGCAGGCACGAAGGCCGACGGCCACACCCGCCGTGTCAGCCGTCCAAAGGGCAGCCCCGGGATTCGCGCCGCCGCGCGCACAGGGGCGGCGCCCCTCGGCCGCTTTAAAACCGACCAACCACAGCGGGTTCCGAGGCGCCGCGCCCGTTCACTGGTCCTGCCCGGAGGGAGGCGGGAGTCCCAGCTCGCCAATAGGGGGCCGGCGGGCGGCAGGGGCGGAGCTCCGCTCCGTCGCGCGGCCCTGAGTGCGCGTGCGCGAGCTCAAGAACGCGGCCCCCTGATTGGCGGCGGGGTGGGGGCGGTGCCGGGCGCGGGGCGGGCCCACGTCTGCGTGACAGTTGTCGCGGGGGGAGGGCGAGCCAGGCGAGGGGGAGGGAGCGTAAATAGAGCGAAGGACTCGCCGCGGCGGCCCCGCCACCTCCCGGGCGACCCGTGAGGAATTCCACAGAGAGATGGAAGAAGATGAGCAAGAGCAGCGGCGCAAGAAGGTGGAGGCGGGGAGAGCGAAGGTAAGCGGCGGCGCCGCCTCCTCCCGCTGCCCCGGTGTGGACTCCCTAGGGCGGGCTCCGGCGCCCGCCACAGCCCTTGCCGGGAGCGGACGCGGTCAGGGGGGCCCCGCCACAGTCTTTTCCTCGCCGCCGGCTCGGCTGGAAGCTGCCTCCTGGCCGCCGCCATCTTGAATCCGCCGCCCTCCGCCGGGGCCCGCCCTCGCCGCGGCCGCAGCCAATCAGCGGCTGGGAGCGCGCCGCGTGGTTCGGGGCTACCGGGCGCAGGGCACGCCGGGACTCGCTGGGCTGCGCCTGCGTGCGGGAGGGCGGGGATCCCGCCCGCGCGCGGTGCTCTCTCCACCCACTGGGACCCCGCTCTGTCCTCCCGCCCGTCCCGGGGAGCTGGCCGCCCTTCACCAAGGCGCCCTAACGGACGTGATGACCTAGCAACGCGCCAGCCCTCTCCGCCTGCCACACCCGGCCGCAGAGAGAGTGAAGGGCAGGGCGCTGTCCGCGCACTGCGCGTCCTGGTTCTCCGGACACCCGGCGCGGCGAGCACCTGCTCACCTGCGCGCCTCATCCGAGCTCAGGGTTGCTGGAGGACTTCCCTACAGTCCTGGGCTACACAGCGCTCTCCCGAGGGCTTATCTCCGCTTCCCTCGCTTTAAAACTACATGCAGAACTTCGTGTTATTTGGAATTCTGCCACTTTTTTAAAAATATAAAAGAGTCTCCTAGTGGTGTTCCAGGAACACGTGACTTGTTTACACTGCGGAATACTTCCCGCTGACTGACTGCTTCGTATTCCGGGGGTCCAGAAGCTCCCGTTCTACCCTAGTTGGTGTTGGGGCCCATGCGGAGGGTCTTGAGCAGGACAGGTTGGAGGAGCTCTGCCGGGGTTCCCTGGGAAGCTCCAGACACCCGCACCGAGCTCCCGGGGTGTGTGTTACGTCCCTGTGTTGTGTATGCCCGAGTGAACTCCGTGTGGTTCTAGAGTCCCGTATCTCCAGGGATGCTTTTATTCTTTCTGCCCCAGTTTTCACAGAAACACCTTTCTGGCACTCACTGTTTTGGGGCATATGATGGGGATTAAACTATGTCCTGACTAGATCTGGGCTCTAGAGGCAAGTGGAGCAAGCACCTGCCCCACCCTATTGGGCTGTGGGAAGTCACCCGCTCTGTCGAGGAATGAGCGAGAGCCTCTGTACAGTGCCCTTGGAGTATGAGGTAAAGCCAGGTGAAGTTGCTGTGTTTGAGGTCAAACATGGTCAAACTTGGGGAATTTCATATGGATTAGCTAGTAGAAGGTATTCAGTGCTGGTTCCCTCCCTTGAAACTACCGGGCGACTGTACTAAAGAGACCATTCAGAACACAGTGACTGGTGTGAGGCAGTGACAGGGATAGCAGTGTCTAATGGCAGGGTGACAGGCAGAGGACAGAGTGGCTTCATTCAGGCTTCCTGTGTAGGTGAAACTTCTGACTTGCGTTTGAGGAGGGAGGCTGAGGCATGCTTTTTTCTTCCTTTGCATGTGCCTGGCATGCACGCCAGACCAGAGATGAAAGTGAGCTGGAGTTTAATGCTTGCTGTGTGGCTTCCCCGAACTTGGCTTGATGTGTAAACGTGAGAAAATATGCTTGAAGGAGCGTTGAGGGTAATGAAGAAGATTGACTTCGTTGCAAGAAGAAACAAGTCAGAGACAGGACTATGGTGCAGGAATGGAGCTCACACATGGTCAAATGGGATGGAATGGGGCATGCAATGAATGAACCAATATAGGGCTGGTGTTGAAGTCAGTGTCTGTCCTTGGGAGACAGTTTTTCTCATAAATGGCCTCGTGTGATTTTCCTGTATCTGTGAAACTTATGCATTTCTATTATCATCTACACGAGCGTTTAAGTGCATTTGCTTTTATGACCACGGTTGTCATTTGAAGGAACAGATGTCCCCCTGTGAAAAGCTGATGTTAGATCTCATACGTTTTGAATAAGGTGTTAGTGGGAGATGTGCATGAACAGAGTCTAAAACCCTCGGGTTTGAGGGACTGAACAGAGCTAGGTTGTGCCTTCTAATGGGCGACATTCTTTGGAGGTCCCTGGTGCTTTTGTGAGCTGTGTCATGAAAAATAGAACATCTGATTCCATAAAGGAGGATGTTAGATTGACCTGGCTTAATTAATTTTTTGCTATTTCTGTACCTTGTCTCAGAATCTATGGCTAGGAAGTTTTGGCCAGGCTATATATTTCCTTGATTGGGGGAAATGGGGACAAAAGGGGAGAGATTTAGGTTTTATGTAGTTTTAAACCTTAAACATGTCTTGATTAAGCTGTCTTTTAAATGTATTTTTTAAAATTTTATTTTTCTGTGAGCTGCCAGGGGCTAGGAAAGCTGTTCTGCCAGTCGACTGTATTGCTTTCTTTTGTCTGTTTGTAGGCGTAATTAACAGTTCTCATTATTAGACTTTTTGGCTGTAATTCTGAACTTAAATCCTAGTGTCAGAGATATTAATGAAGGCAGTATTTGTGGGCAGGGGTCTATTGGCTGACGTGAGTCTGGCCAGGTGTGGCTGAGTGGGCTGGGCCAGCCCCGGAGCCTCATGTGCCCCACGAGCTCATTGACTTTGTGGTCCTGTTACTGTTTTCTCACTTATCTCTGCCTTTACTATTTCTCTACGTTTTTGCGCAGCTTGCTCACTTCCGACAGAGAAAAACAAAAGGTGACTGTGTGCATTCGAAGAAAAAGACGGCGAAGAGGAAGGGCTCGTCTGTCGATGCGCCTGTCCAGGAGGAGAGTCCGTTAGTTGCCAAGGGTGGACTCCTGGGAGGAGGGGACGTTTGTGAAAGTACATCATGTGGCGACACCCCTAATGGGGCAGGAGCAGTTCAGGTACATTTGCTCATCTTGTGTTTTAAACTTTTGTTTATCTTCTAGTTATTGCTTCTGTAATTTACTAAAAGTGGTTTTTGGTCTGTTTTTGTCTACCAAAAGTGGGGAAAGAGAGTTTTATTTTAGTTTACAAAAGGAGAGTATATTTTTGTAGTTTTACTCCTGATAAGTTTTTCATCTTTATTAGACAGTTTTGAGAACTTTCGGATTGACTGTTTGAAGGCAAGCGTCAGTATTGGTGTTTGCTTTGGTAATGAAAGTTTTACAGGTGTGAGTTCCCTGGGTGTGGCTGTGTGCATCAGCCCCTCTGACAGGTGTTTCCTTGGACACTTATAATATTCCATCACCCTCTCTCAAATCCACCTGCTTGTCATTCTTTGTCCTTTACTTTTGTTCTGAACGTGGGATGAGGAGGGAAGCTGTTGCAGAAATGGTGTCTTGCTGGAGGAGGTGCCACCGTCTGTGCTTGAGGCCTGAGAGCTGCAGGGGCTGGTGTGGCAGGTGAGTGGATGTGTGCATAGAGAGTGCTGGTCCTGCGTGGCCTCCCTGGGGCCTCTGATTGCCCACAGGTGGGCTCTCCTTGGGGTCTTCTTGTATGCATTATCGGTGAGGGGCCTTGAATTGTGAGTATCTCTTGCTGGGTTGTAATAGGGCAGGTACAAGTTTAGCTGTTGGTTAGAATAGGCTTCCTTTGCCTTGTGTAAGTTTTTCTTTCTAAATATTGGCATTTGAGCTAACATCTGTTGCTAATCTTTTTTTTCCTTCTTCTTCTCCCCAAAGCCCTCCAGTAAGTAGTTGTATATTCTAGCTGTAGGTCCTTCTGGTTGTGCTCTGTGTGATGCCACCTCAGCATGGCTTGATGATGGTGCCGTATCTGCACCCAGGATCCTAACCGGCGGAACCTTGGACTGCTGAAGCCGAGCTCGTGAACTTAACCACTCGGCTATGAGGCCAGCCCCCTGTCTTGTATGAGTTTGATACTTTTGAAGAGTACTAGCTAGTTATTTTGTAGACTATCTGCCAGTTTGGGTTTCTTCAGTGTTTCCTCCTGATTGAGGTCAGGTCTTGCATTTTGGCAAGAATGCTGTGGAAGTGGTGGTCTGTGCAGTGCGGTGCTGCTTCGGGGTGGTGTCTCGCTGCTGGTGATGCTGACTGTGATCCCTCAGTTATGCTGGCCTGCTAGGTTTCTCTTGGTAGAGAAGCTACTAGTTCTCCCTTCGTAGTTCATAAGTATATTGTGTGAAGGTATTTAGACAGCCTGCAGATACTCTGTTTCTCATCATACTTTCTTCCGTTAATTTTAGCTTCCGTTGATGATTCTTGCCTGCAACAGTTATTACAGTGGTGTTGGCCAGATGGCAACTTTCTCTTCTCCTCATTCTGTCTACACGTGTTAATTGACATTCTACTCTAAGGAGGAGCTGTTGTTCTTCCCAATCTATTTGTTTATTCAATTACTTATATCAGTATGGATTCACAGATATTTATTCTCTGGGTTTTAATCCTCATATCAAGCATATCAGTGTTTATTTTGTTGTTGAAATACACAGATTTGGCCATTGGGAGCGCCTCTGAATTGGCATCCTTTTGACATGTCCTCTTGCTTTTCTGGCACCTAGATTTTCCAGGCTTATTTTGTCCTTTCCCTGTGACAGCCCTGTAACCAGCCATTTCTTCAAGGAGCCCTGGTTCCTTTTAGTGGAGAATGGCAATTAGAAACCAAGGTCTGGGTGCTAGGTGTGCTTATTGCTAGTGGGGTGTCATTTCTTCTAGGCTGTTTCAACAGGCAGAGTTAGGAAATATATAAATATACACACATCTGTATCTATTTCTTTCCCTCTTTATTTGTATGATAAAAACCACAAATTCATACGAATACCTTCAATTCCAGTCCAGCACCACAGAAGTCATTCTAGCTTTTCCCTCTCCTTATTTTTAATTCCTTTTTTGAATAGTGAGAAACCTGGTTTCCTTATCTACAATATATTGACTTATTTGCTCCATCTTAAAATACACACAAATTAGTTTCAGAATTGCCAACTCTCACTCCTGTGAAAAACAAATTTACTAACTAGAGTAGAATACTTGTATATAGTTCTTTTTGTTTTTATCATTCCAAAGTTTATTGTTTAGTGTTCCAAAGTTGTTAGGTTAGTTCTTTTATCCTTGCCTCTTCATTGTGGTTATTTTATTCATTTGTAGCATAGTTTATTGTTTGTATTTTATTTTGGTTCTTCTCACATCCAGGCTGATTTTAGTTCATTATTTTGGAGTAAGTGAAACGTTAATTACCAAGGTTCTAGGAGTCAGAGCTGTACTCCAAGATTGGCATTTCCTCCTCTTCCCACTGCCCTGTTTCTATTTCTCACTTCTTCCCACCCCACTCACCCACCCTGTGGATGAACAGTCACTCTACTTTCTGGCTTATCCTTCCTTCTTTTTGCACAAAGGAGTAAATTCATCCCCTTTTTATATGAAAACTAGTGTGTTATCGATGATGTTTTGCATTTGGCTGTTTTCCTGCAGCAGTGTCTTGGAATCACTGCCCGTCACTTCACAGAGATCTTGCCCCTTGATTTTTTATGGCTGCATAGTGCATCCATTGGGTGGAGGCACCGTAGTCTGTTCAGCTGTCTCCGTGAATGGGCGTTTAGATTGTTTCCAGTAGTTTGCTTCACAAACAGTGTGGTGGTGAAAGACCTTGTTCATTTGCATTTTTATATCATAGGAGGTCTATTCTCAGGGTGAATTCCTTGAAGTGGTCAAAAGGTGAGTGTATCTGTAGTTTTGTTGGCTCTCGCTAAGTCCGCTCCATAAGGGACTTACCAGTTTGGATTTGCATCAGCAAAGTGTGTTATTGCCTGCTCCCGATAGCCTTGTGAATACAATGTCTTGTCACACTTTGAGTTTTTGGCATTCTGACCTATGGTTTCATTTCTCTTGGATCAGTACCTTGGGGGTGATATGGTTGGATGCTATGGTAGGTGTGTGTTTAACCTTTTAAAAATCTGCCAAAAACTGTTTTCCAAGGTGGGTGTACTGTTTTGCATCCCCACCAGCAATACAAGTTCAGCAATAAAAAAGAATGAGCATTCAAGACATACAAAGACATGGATGAACCTTAAATGCATATTGTTAAGTTGAAGGCTACCAATCTGAAACACTACATACTATATGGTTCTGTTTATATAACATTCTGGAAAAGATAAAACTATAGAGGCAGTAAACAGATCAGTAGTTGCCAGAGGTTGGTGGAGGGGAGGGTTGAATAGGTGAAGCATGGGATTTTTTAGGGCAGTGAAACTTCTGTATGATAATGTAAATTTTAAGAAATGAAGTAAGAAAATTTGTATGCAAATTTAAAAAATCATTTAGGAGATTGGAGGATCCCAGGATGGAATGCAGACTATAACCAAGATCCTAACTATATCACAGATGTATTACACAGATGTGTAAAGCAGCCTCACTGGAGGGGTTGAGGGGGAAAACACTGACCTGAGTTACTTTGGAAATGGGTAGAGTTTGTAAGACTGAAGGCAAGAGGAACTGTGTATAAACACTGTACTCGAGTTGGTAAAGTTGTGTCCCATGGAGGTCAGGGTTAACGATTTTGATAGTGCTGTACATGTACCCTGGAACTGAACAATTAAGAGATGGATGGTAGGCAGTGGGAGCTAGGTTTCTCATTGTCTGATAACATGCTCATGCAGCTCTGCCTTGGTTGGCTTTTGGGTTGATCTAAAGTTGAGAGTATCTAAGGTTGGGGCCCGTGGGGGTCTGGGCTGTAGAGGGAAGGCAGTAGAGAATAGGTGAGCTGGAGGAGAGGGAGAGACAAGATCAGGGGAGATGGAAAGGCATTGTCTTACTCTGCTCGAGCTGCCATAATGGAATACTGCAGGCTAGGTGACTTAAACAGCAGACATTTATTTTCTCTCAGTTCTGGAGGCTGGATGTCTTGAGATCAAGGTGCTGTTAGGGTGGGTTTCTGGTGAGGCGTCTTTTCCTGACTGGTAGGTGCTGCCTTCTTGCTGTGACCTCCCATGGCCTCTTCTGTGTGTGCAGAGAGAGAGAGGACAAGCCAGCGAGCTCTGGTGTCTTTTCCTTTTGTTATAAGGACACCAGTTCTGTCAGATTAGGGTCCCACCCTATGACCTCATTTAACCTTAATTACCTCCTTAAGGACCCATCTTCAAATACAGTCACATGGGGATTAGGGTTTCAACGTATTATTTTTTGGGAGGACAGTTCAGTCCGTAACGTTTTGCCCTCTGGCCCCCCAAATTCCTGTCCTTCTTGCATGCAAAATACTTTGACCCCATCCCAACAGCCCCAAAGGTCTTACCTCATTCCAGCATTTATTCCAAGTCCAAAGTCTCCTCTAAATATCATCTCATCAGATATGGGCAAAACTTGAGTTAGGATTCACCTGAGGCAAAATTCCTCTTCAGCTGTGAAACTAGAGTTATGTGCTTCCAAAATACTGTGGCGGGACAGGCATGGGATAGACAATCCCATTCCAAAAGGAAGAAATGGAAAAGAAGAAAGGGATGACAGGTCCCTAGCAAGTCCAGAGCCTAGCAGGCAAATTCTGTTTGATCTGAAGGGTCAAGAATACTCCTCTTTGGCGGATGCTCTGCCCTCTGGGCCCACTGAGGCTGTAGCATCACCCCCATGGCCCTGGGCAGAGGCCTCCTGGCCTCTGAAATTGAGGAGGGGACCCCACCCTCTGACACTGAGGAGGAAACAGCCTTGTCACCTTTGCCTATGGTGGGAATCGCAGGCTGATGACCTCTTAACTGCCTTCTGGTCATTCTTCCCTTTATAACTCTATTCTGTCCTGTAGAATCTCAGAAGTCCAGAAGCCTTTCTTTATTTCATCCTGTCTCTGCTGGCGTAATCCTGTCTCCATTGCTGATTCTGCTAAGATGGCTGATTAACTCCACAGTGATCTCTTTATGAAATGATTGTCCAGTCACACCCTTGGTGTTCTCTCTAGAGCAAGCTCTCTCCTTCTTTGTATTATGGATAGGCTGAGAATTTTCCAAATCTTCAAGTTCTGGTTCCTCCTGTGTTTTACTGTAAGCTCTGAGGAGAAGCAGGCTGCACCATCGACACTTTAGTTAGGAATCTCCTCAGCTAAATAGCCAATTTCATGGCTCACACATTCTGCCTTCCACAGAACACTAGGACACTATCCAGCTGAGCTCTTTATAGCATGGTTTGCCTTTACTCCAGTTTCTGGTGGCGTGTTCTTCATTGACGTCTGAGGCCTTGCCAGAGTCACCTTTGCTGACATCCCTTCACAGCAATCTAGACTTTTTTTAGTATGTACCTCAAAACTCTTCTAGTCTGTACCCATCTCCTGCTTCCAAAGCTGTTTCCATGTTTTTAGGTATTTGTTACAGCAGCACCCTACTCTTGGTACCCAGATCTGTGTTAGTTTGCTCAGCTGCCATAACATAAAACCCAGACTGGATGGCTGTTTTCTCACCGTTCTGGAGGCTGGATGTCTGGGATCAGGGTGCTGGCAGGGCTGTTTTCTAGCGAGAGCTCTCCTCCTGGCTTGCAGGTGGCTGCCTTCTCAGTGTGTCCTCACGTGAGAGAGAGAGTGCTATGGTGTCTCTTCCTTTTCTTGTAAGGCCATGGTCCTATTGGATCAGGGCCCGCCTTAGGATCCCATTTAACCGTTATCATCTTGAAGGCCCTGTCTCCAGATGCAGTTGCATGGTGGGGGGTTGTTCTGGAGACACAATTTGACCATAACAGGCACCCCCAGTAGGAGAGAAGATAGGATCCATCTGAAGGTTGTTTTTAGAGAAAGGCTGTTGAAGTTTGATTTGACAGGTGGCAGGATGGAGTGGACATGCCTCCGAGTTCAGAGAGTGTAAGTGACATAATTATCTTTGCCTTTTTAAAGGACAGGATATGTTTGCCTGTGCATTAGAGTCAGCTTGAAATTCAGAAGGCTCAGGCTAGAATAACTGAACTCGAGGAAAAGCTTCTGAGCAAGCAGGATGCCATTGACAGGCTTGGTCTGGAGGTGGAGGAACCTCAGGCTCAGCTGGTTCGGCGTCCTGGCATTCCCTGCCAGCAGGATCATTGTTAACTTGCTGATGTCTCATCTATTTCCAAGGAAATATTGTGTTTAATGTAAAGTTCCAAGGCTAGGCCTTACCTTGTAACTCATAGGTTCATTTTGATGTGTCTGAGCTGGTACCTTTCCATCCTCTGGCTAGGGAGTGATTTATTTGCCTGTTTAAAGACTGGGGTGAGATACAGGTACCTACTGGAAGGGGTGGGATCAGAAAAGAAAGATTGGAGAGTGGAGCAATGAGAGGAGACCCAGCAGCAACGCTGGTTGGCTTTCTGGAGGCTCCTGTGTGCTGAGGGAGTTCGGTCGAGGAGGGCTGGGTGGAACGTGGGTTGTGGTGTTGCTGGGCAATCTTGCCAGTGTCAGCCGTGCTCCCATGGTGACAGTGACACCTGGTGAAGGACACTGTGCCACTCAGAGGCTTCTGCCTGTAGCTTCATTCCATTTTTAGTGGAGACTGATTGCTATGATCTAGTTTTCTCAAATTAGGTAAGTTCAGTTAATTCTGAGTTATTTAAACCGTTGGAGGAGCTGGAGGGGAGCAGTGGTGCAGAGTTGGTGTGGGCGGGCAGGGAGGGCTGGGAGGGCCTGAGGCTGTGGCTCTGGATGCTGCTGTAAACGCTCTTCTCTGCCCCTTCCCCTCTTAGCTGGAGGACCCGGATGGAGAGAGGACGGAGGACTCGGAGCTCCCGCAGCAGGCGCTGGGTGGTGACTCTCTGGAACAGCCTGGGGTCATCATAAAGGTATTCTTCCTCAAGGTTCTCTGTTAAGGCGTGTTGCCTGTCAGAGGATTTCTCCCTGTTGTGGTGGAAATCCAAACCAGAGAGAGGACTCAATTTCTGAAGGGCCCTCTCTGTTTAAAAGTGGAAACTGGGAGCCAACCAGGCTGGAGGCGGAGCTTCTGCTGCAGGCCTTTCTTCCCTAGTACCCTGCCTGGAAGGTCTCTCTGTAGACTGCCTACTGGAGCCTGGATCTACCTTCCTCGTGACCTTGATCTTCTGGGTTTTGGAGACAGAAGGTTGCCTTTTGCACGCTGAGGATAACTGTCTTACACCTTCCCTTGTGGAGTGATTGCCTCGCGTCTCCTGCAGTCGGTGTGATGGGTCCCAGTGTGGAGCTGTGAGGCGGTCTGCCACCCAGAGCTGCAGCAAGAGGGCGGGCTTGGGGTCGTCTTAATGTCCCCGTTTCTGCCACAACGCCTGGTGTGAATTCCATGTGTCTTGAATTGATGACCTTTATTTAATTGATGTGGCTTTTGTTAGTATTTGGAAGGGAATTTATTAGATATTGAGTTGACTAATTTCAAAGTATTAAGTCTATATTCTAGGCATTTGATTCTACTGGACTCAGTTCACAGTACTTTAGGCAGTGAGCAAGTTTAGTTTAATCTGTATTATTGCGGGAGAGATCTAGATCATAGGCAGGGCCTGGAAAAATGGTCTCTGGTGGGGTCCATAAAACCCACCTTTAAATACACGTTATCGTACTTGTTTCAAACTGTGATGTGTAGCATATGTATAGAAGAGTACGAAGTACGTCAAACTTGCATGCAGCCTAACAAATGGGTACACAGTGAGCACCACTGGATGCCTCTGCAGGTGGAAACAGGATGGGCCTGGATGCCTCCTTGTGCCCCACCCCACCCCAGCCCAGAGTTGATGCGGTCCTGAGTTCCATGGTGACTGTGCTTTAGGAGTTTGTGTGAATGGACCAGACATGATTCTGATCTTTTTCTACGTTTTACCTTCCAGTATCTTTGCATCTTTATATTTTAGATATGTATCTGGTAAACAGTAGAGAGTTGATCTTTTAAAATTATTCTGACAATCTTTGTGTTTTTAGTAGACAGTTTAATTCATTTACATTTAATGTAATCGCTGATGTATTTGAGCTTACATCTATCATTTAATTTGGGCTTTCTATTTGTCCTGCTTGTTTTGTTTCTTTTTTCTTCCTTTTTACCTTCTTTGGATTATTTTACATAGGAGATTTTTTTTTTAAATTTTCTCTTTACCCATTTTGAGGTAATAACATACTCAGTTTCTATTCTTTTAGTGGTGAGCTTTTTAAATCCAACATTTACACTTAAATTATCTAAGTCTAGATTTAGTCAACACTTGCAGTTTCCTCCTAGATAGTACAAGGACTTTAGAATCCTTTAACTCCATTTATACTTCCTGTAATGTACATTTTTGTCATGGTTTTTTAAATTGTAAAATATACTTAAGATTTACCATTTTAACTATTTTTAAGTACACAGTTCAATTGTATTAAATACATTCATAATGTTGTGCAGCCATCACCACTGTCCGTCTCCATAGCTCTTTTCATCTTGTAAAACTGGAACTCTGTATCCTTTAAACAATAACTCCACGTTCCCCCCAGCCCCGCCTCTGGTGCCCACCATTCTACTTTTGGTCTCTATGATTTTGACTACTCTAAGTACCTCATATAAGTAGAATTATACAGTATTTGTCTTTTTGTGACTGGCTTATTTCGCTTAGTGTAATGTCCTCAAGGTTCATCCATGTCATAGCATATGTCAGAATTTCCTTCGTTTATAAGGCTGAATAATATTCCATTGTATGTCTAGACCACGTTTTGTTTATCCATTTGTCCACTGATAGACACTTGGTTTGCTTCCACATTTTAGTTATTGTGAGTAGTGCTACTGTGAACATGGGTGTATGAATATCTATTTGAGACCCTGCTTTCAGTTCTTTTGGGTGTATATGGAGAAGTGGAATTGCTGTATCATATGGTAATTCTATTAGTTTTTTGAGGAACTGCCATGCTGTTTTCCACAGCAGCTGCACCATTTTACATTCCCACGAACAGTGCACAAGGGTTCCAATTTCTCCACATCCTCGCTAACACTTGTTATTTCTATTTTTTTCAGTAGCCATCCTAATAAGTGTAAAGTGGTTTGTTTTACATTTCTTTTTTTAAAAATAATTTTTAACCCCACAGTCCATCCATCTGTCCAACTATCTATCCAGATATCTATTTGTTTACTGCTTTAAATAAACTTAATTTTGGACTAGTTACAGATTTACAGAAAAGTTGCAGAGATAGTTCAGACAGTTTGTGTGACCTTCGCCCCGCTTCCCTACTGGTAACGTCTTACACACCATGGCACTTTTGACAAGGCACATTTGGATTTTACCAGTCTTTCTGCTAATTAGCTTTTTATTTTTCTTTTTGTATGTGAGCTGCTGCCACAGCATGGCCACTGACAGACGAGTGGTATAGGTTTGTGCCTGGGAATTGAAACCAGACCGCCAAAGCAGAAGGCGCCAAACTTAACTGCTAGGCCACCCGTTCTGGCCCTAGCGTGCTTTTTCTATCTGGGATCCCATCCAGGACTCCGCATTGTGTTTAGTTATCTTGACTCCTTTCCCTCCTCAGGTCTCTTGACGGTTCTCCCTTTTCCTTATGTTTGATGACCGTGGCAGTTTTAAATAATACTGGTCAGTTATAGACCTTCCCTCAGTTTGGGTTTGTCTGACATTTTCTCATATTTAGACTCAAGTTAGAGATTTCTGAAAATGGTACCATGGAGGGATATGCCCTTTTTGTCACATAGTGTCAGCCAGTTTCACCTGTAAAAGTACAGTTTTTCCCCTTTGTAGAGTCTCTTCCTTGGAATCGCGTCACAAGCCCAGCCCACACAATGGAGGGAGAGGCAGAGCCGCCGTCTGTGGGGAGCCCTGGCCATGCACTGTGTCTAGAATCCTTCTGCAAGAAAGATCTCTCTCTTCTCACCCGTCAATTAGTTTATCAATCATATATTTATGTCGGTATGGGCTCATGTGTATTTGTGTTATACTTCAAGTTATAGCCCCAAACTATGTTGTTGCTCAGACTATTTCAGTTCTGCCCATGGGAGCTCTTTCTGATGGGCTCCCCTGTCCCGTCGACATACCCATCCTTTGTTTTGTAAGCGTATCCTGGCTTTCTGGCACTACACAGTACTCCAGGCTCATCTTGCACTTTCCCTGCCTCAGTTCTAGAATCATCCATTTCCCCAAAGAGCCCTGGTTCCTTTTATTGGATGGTGATATTTAGAAACCAAGACCTGGGCACTGGGTGTGCTTGCTGCTTCTAAGCCCCAGTGGACAGAGCTAGGAGATCTGAGTATGGATGCTTGTCCACATACATGCATATATCTGTACTTGTTTCTGCACATCTGTCTATATAAACGTCTTAAAATAACCTTGAGGGCAGACTGTTGTCCTAGACTCCAGCACCTCAGGGGTCATTACACAGCAATTCCACCCCCCCAGTCTTCCCCATGCGTCCACCTTGTAGGCAGCCTCTCCTGCTTCCCCATCCCCTGGCGACTGCTGACCTGTTTCTGTTCCATAGTTTTGCCTTTTCCAGAATGTGGTGCATATGGAATCCTAGAATACATAGGCTTTTGGGTCTGACTTTTTGAATCACATAGCAAAATGAATGTAGGATTCATGCTAGTTGTTCCTGCTCAGTCCTCACCCTCTCACTGTGCCATTGCATGGTGTGCCAGTCTGTTGGTCACTTATCTGCTGAAGGACAGCTTGCTTCTTTTTTTTTTTTTTTTGAGGAAGATTAGCCCTGAGCCAACTACTGCCAGTCCTCCTCTTTTTTGCTGAGGAAGCCTGACCCTGAGCTAACATCCGTGCCCATCTTCCTCTACTTTATATGTGGGATGTCTACCACAGCATGGCGTGCCAAGTGGTGCCATGTCTGCACCTGGGATCCGAACCAGTGAACCCCGGGCCGCTGAGAAGCAGAACGTGAGAACTTAACCACTGTGCCACCCGGCTGGCCCCACAGCTTTCTTGCTTCCAGTTTTTTGTGCTTATGAATAAGGAGTTTGGTTTTTAGTGGTCAATTTTTGTTGTTTAGGTTTAGCATCGTATTTCCTATCTTCTTTGCCCTTTATTTATTTTCTGACTTTCCATGTGGGGCCATATTCCGTCTGCCTCAAGAATACCCTTAAGGGGCCGGCCCCATGGCCGAGTGGTTGAGTTTATGTGCTCCGCTTCTGTGGCCCAGGGTTTCGCTGGTTCAGATCCTGGGTGCAGACTTAGCACTGCTCATCAAGCCGTGCAGTGGTGGCATCCCACATAGCACAACCAGAGGCACCTCACAGCTAGAATATACAACTAGGTACTGGGGGGCTTTGGGGAGAAGAAGAAAACAAAAAGATTGGTAAGAGATGTTATCTCAGGGCCAATCTTTAAAAAAAAAAAAAGAATACTCTTTAGCGTTTCCTCTAGCAAGACCCTTCTTGTGCCAAATGCTCCCAGTTTTGTTTTCCTGACTGTATTTTTATTTTGTTCCCCTTCCTTCTCGGAGGTTAGTCTCACTGGTGGAGGCGTCTCCGTTGGCCTGTCTCTCTCACTGGGGTTTCGTCCTTGCTCTCCCTGGCTCCCCCTGGCTGTCTGGATGCTTGGAAGACTTTCTGTCTTTACCATTCTGCAGTCGCCCTTTGCTGTGTGTGGGTGTGGATTTCATGATTTGATTAATCCTACTTGGGGTCATGGTGTTTTTGAATCTGTAGTTGATGCCCCTCGCTTCTAGAAAGTCTGCAGGCAGTATTGCCCTGTGTAGCTCCTGCCCACTCTCTCCTGGAATTCCACTTATGGTTTAGGCCTTTTCTTGCATACACAGTTCTCATCCTGTTGTCCAGGCTTTCCTGCCTTTGTCCTTTCTGCCACATTCAGCATCGTCCCTCATGCTGACTTTGGTTATCTCTACAGAATGCGCTATTAAACCTGTCTACAGAGTTGTTGATTTTGTCTTTGCTGTTTCTATTTCAGACTGTCTTTTTGGATTTCTTAAAATCAGCTGTGTCATTCTGTATAAATTTATGTTTTTTAGAGATATTTTCAAGCTGCTTTTGTTTTGTTTGGTTTTTGGTGGTTTTTCTTTGAGGAGGATTAGCCCTGAGCTAATATCTGACACCAATCCTCCTCTTTTTGCTGAGGAAGACTGGCCCTGAGCTAACATCCGTGCCCATCTTCCTCTACTTTATATGTGGGATGCCTGCCGCAACATGGCTTGACAAGCAGTGTGTAGGTCTGCACCCAGGATCTGAATCGGCGAACCCCGGGTTGCCGAAGTGGAGCATGTGAACTTAACTGCTGCGCCACCTGGCCGGCCCCTGCTTTTATTTTAAGCATAACTGTCCTTTCCTTTTTATGAGGAAATTGGTCTGAACTTTGCTTCGTATTTGGCAGTATGACCAACTATTCGCTTTAAATGTGTGGCTGGGAATTATTTGAGTCACTTTGGTTTTTGGTTTTTTGGGCTGCAAACTTGTAAGTGTTGCTTCTCAAGATCTTTCTTTTTAATGCTTTGTCTTCCGTGTCTCTGTTGTTCTTCCTGGAGTAGCTGTGGTATGCTTATCTCTGGAGGGTGTTCGTCTGGTTTCTGTGAGAATGTCTGTGTCCTGCCTCGCTGGAGCTGCTGCAGATGGTGCCAGGTCTTTACCGCCTCAGTGTCCCACAAGTAGCTCTTTGCTGGGACTTACTTTTATGTCAGTTCCTTTGCTTGGGAGTTCCTGCACCCCATGCTTTGTGTACATTGTGAACACACGTCAGGAGCAGGCCTCTGCCCAGCCTGCTTCATTGGAGACGAATGTGCTTACCCTGGGGGCAAGTGTGTCTGTCCTGTCCTGCGATGCAGCCTTTCAGGGCACCTGGCTTGATTCTTACACTGCGTTTCCAACCACCCTCCTGGCACAGCCTCCGATTCCAGGACGATGCACTGTTCTAACTCATCCCTGTCTCCCCAGATTGTTTCAGTTTTCAGGTCTGTCCTGTCTGCATGTGGGGTGTCCCTTTCTTAAGAGCATTTAAAGTCACTCTTGTTGTGTTTTATCTAGCAATTCTAGATGTTTGTAGCAAAAAGGCTTTAAGATCATGCCTTTTATGTTTAAAACTGGACGTTCCTACGTTACCTTTTCCAATTGGAAGAAGGAACTTTGAAAAAGGATCCATAATTGACTCCAGCACTCCCCTTTCTGCACAGTTGCTTCTCCTTGTTGCTGTTTGCTAGAGGAACGCTTGTGTGGGCATTTTCACCCACAGTTTGTCTCCGGGTGCCAGCTCGGTTCTGGGCATCTCAGATGTGCATGTAGAGAGCAGCCGGCGCCTCTGCAGGGCTGAGGGGCCGGGGTCGATGTGGTGCTGGGCACAGAGGCCGGGCAGGTGCCTAGAGGAACTAGACAGATGAGGAGGCATGGCCGTGCAGGGGTCGAGGGCCGCATGTGAGGGGCTTTATTCCTAGGGTGGTGGGCACACTTAGAAGTTTAAGGAAGAGTGTGACAAGAGCAGGTTTTCTTTTTGAGTGCGTTTGCTGCCTCCAAGCTGATGACAGCGCCTAAGGCCAAGTGACCATGGGGGCAGCCAGCTGTGCTCATGGGAATGGAGGGATGCCAGGACAGGCCCTGGCTGGCTGTGCGGTGGTATGAGGGGAGGCGGGAACAGGAGGACTGTGCGGGTTTGGCGTGCTGTTAACTGAGGTAGAGAACTTAGCGGAGCCCCAGTTTGGGCAGAAAAATCCAGTTTAGTTTTGGTTATTTTGAGTCTGAGGTGCGGTGTAGACAAGTGGGTAGCCTGGGGCCCCAGAGACGTCTGTCTGTGCACCGGAGAGGCTGGGAGGCCCGCAGGGCGAGGGGCTGGCTTTTGGGAGTGTGGAGGGGAGGGGACCGCGGTGCCGTGCTGGTATACAGCATGTAGCTTTCTTCTCCCTTTGGATTGTTGATGCTGAAAATGTTCCCAGAGGTGGGAGTGTTAAGACAGAAGCATTTTCTGTGGCTCTTGACGTTTCTTGTCACATAGCTTTTAAGAAAAAAGCTCTACCAACTTATTCGGTCATTGACTGTTTGGTTAATTTGTTTCCTGGTGACCTTGGTGACATTGAGGGTCAATGTTATCATCACCCACTTTTGCTTAGTGGCTATGAAATGTTCTTTAAGATGTATGTCTTGGGGCTGGCCCCGTGGCCTAGTGGTTAAGTTCGCGCGCTCCGCTGCAGGCGGCCCAGTGTTTCGTTTGTTCGAATCCTGGGTGCGGACATGGCACTGGTCATCAAACCACGCTGAGGCAGCGTCCCACATGCCACAACTAGAAGGACCCACAATGAAGAATATACAACTATGTACCGGGGGGCTTTGGGGAGAAAAAGGAAAAAAAAAAAAAAGTGTGTCTTCGGGTTCGTGTAGTTCTGTCGGCACTCCCCCATCCAGGCATTTCATGGATGGTTTCTCTCCCGTAAGTGTCACTTCCCTCCTCTGCCTGAGGGACAGCGGCCTGGAGGCCACGCCTTTCATCTCTGTCAGCACCTGCAGCCTCTCCTTCTGGGGTTTCCAACTTTACACTAAGCTACTTAAACAGGTTGAATATTCTTTCATAGTTATTATTTTTATTGAGTTATAATTCACATAACGTAAAATTCACCGTTTTTAAACATGTGCTTAAGTGGCTTTTAGTACATTCGTTATATTGTGCAACCATCACAACTAATTCCAAAACCTGTTCTTCAGCCCAAAAGGAACCCCGTCCCCATTAGCAGTCACCTCGTTCTTCCCTCCTCTGACCACCACCTGTATTCTCTCCTGGGTGTGCCTCTGTTTCCTGTTGATGGAAGCCTGACCATATGCTGTGTGTCTGGCTTCTCTCACTGAGTACGTGTCTCCAGGTTCACCATGTTATCGCATGTGTCAGTACCTCATTCCTTTTTATGGCTGAGTGAGAGCCCGTTGCATGTATGCACTGCATTTTGCTCATCCGTTCACCCGTTGGTGGACACTGGAGTTGGTTCTGCCTTTTCGTGGTTGTGACCAGTGCTGCTGTGACATTGATGGACAAATTTTGTGAGAAGTTGTGTTGTCAGTTCTCTCTGGTGTCATCCTCTTTGGCTATGTGCTTTCTCGGGTGACTTCTCTGAGTTACGTGCTTTGCTTTCCTGCTCCAGGAATGTGAACAAGAACGTGACCCTGCAGGTGCTGAACTGCTGAGCAGACAGGAGGAGGAGGCTGGCAGACAGCAGCGGGCAGTGGCAGAGCTTCGGCAGCTGACAGAGATGCACCAGGTGCAGTTGTAGAGCCAGGTGACCCTGGGACACTCGGGCTGCAGTCCAGGGCCTCAGGGGCTCAGCCGAGTCCTTGCACTTGCTCTGTCATTTACACCAGGACACAGTGGTTTTGGGATCTGGGAGGGTTGCAGGTAGGAGAGATTTGTCACAAAGTGGACGGCTGTGTGCTGCAGGCTTGCTGTCTGTACTTGTCTGGTTTGTTCTGTTTTCACGTCTGCGTGGGGCTGTTGAAAGCACAGTTGGAGGGATATGCATGGACACCTGGTGGCAGCAAGTCTGGCCGGGTGACAGGCTGTGTAGGGGGCACTCGCTGCAGTCCAGCCTCTCCCTGTCAGCTGCTGACCCCACTCTTTAAACACCAGCAGTACTGTAGCGGAGAGGGATCCTGAAGGAGCAGGAGCCATGGGGGTGGAGCTGTGTGCGAGGCCCCTGGGTGGCTGCTACGCTCTGGGCCTTGGGGTCAGGGCCGGACCCTCGGAGCGAAGGGACTGCTGGACTCGCTCCACCGGTGGGAGAGCTGGCCAGCACCCTGTTCCTCCCACACCCCGGGGGTTGCTGCTGGCCTCTTCAGGACGTGTATTCTCTTCCATGTTTTCTGTGTCTTCCTCTCCTTTATTCATTTTCTCTTTATGCTTTTCTGTGTGTCCCTTAAGTGCCTGGTTCCAAGCATATTTTTCTGTTTTTGTGTTAATTGGGAGTCAGGTGTTGCTTCCTCTGTGTCAAACAGTTGGACGCCTGGAACCCTGGCCCACGGAGGCGGTGGAAGGAGAAGCAGATCCCTCATGTCTCAGGCACAGAAGTTCTCTTTTGTTCCCCGCTGCCTGCGTTCCAGAGCAGTGAAGTGCCCAGCTCACCTGTCTCTGGTCTGGGATGTGGGGTTCCTGTCTGTGCTGTTAGCTCAGTGGTCGCTGGTCACTGTTCAGTTTCACCCTTGTTGACACTGACTGTCACAGAGAACCTGCTGTCAGTGTTCTGGTGTTGTCTCATGTGCATTAGCAGGGGTTTTGCAATATCTGAAACGTCTGCTCACCTGTCCCTAGCCAGGCTGGGCCTCCGGGCCGTGGACTCTGTCTGGATGAAGGTGGGGTCTGTCCTGCAAGGCGCTGGCCTGTGTGTGGCCAACGTCGTTGTCTGAGGAGGAACAAAGAGGCAGTGGTTATGACCCCTGCCCTCCAGGAGCCTTGGTTTAGTTGGAGGAGAGGATGTGTAACTGGAGGGGCTTCCAGGGAGGGGCAAGTGGCCACTTTAGGTTAGGTGGTCGGGACGTTGCTGGCTGTGCCAGGGCAGCGGGCTGCACTGAGGTCCTGTGAGGAGCTTGCCTGGGACTGAGCAGGGGCTGAGCTGGTGCTGTCTCTCGAGTGTGAGGCTGGTGCGGAGCAGCAGGAACAGCATGGGAAGGGGCGCTGCGGCAGTGTCTGGGCAGGAGCAGTCAGTGCTTGCAGACAAGTACACTGTGGCCACCCAGAAGACAGGGCCATGCTGGGGTGCGCTCTGTAGTGTGCTCTCCCCGCACCACCCCAAAATCGCCTCTCTCCTCAGCCGGTGCCCCCACTGGAGCTGGAGGCGCTGCGTCTGAGCCTGAGCAACATGCACACAGCGCAGCTGGAGCTGACGCAGGCCAACCTCCAGAAGGAGAAGGAGACGGCGCTGACGGAGCTGCGGGAGATGCTCAACGGCCGGCACGCGCAGGAGCTGGCCCTGCTGCAGAGCAGGCAGCGGCTGGAGCTGGAGCTCATCAGGGAGCAGCACGCCCGCGAGCAGGAGGAGATGGCGCTGCGGTGCGCCCAGGAGACAGGTATGGGCATGCGGGCGGGGTGGGGCTTTGAGGTGACCTGTGTGAAGCACAAGTCCCTGCTCCTGGAGTTGGAAAGCAGGTGGCCCATCACGGCGCCTCCCTGGGAAGGTGTTCACATGCTGGTCTCCGTGCCCACAGGAAGTGCAGCATGTGGTGGCATGGGCACCCACCCAGTGCCCAGAGGTTGTCCATGTCTGGGTGGTGCAGTGTGTGTCCTACTCTGCTGTCCCTTTGCCTTCTCTCCAGTTTTCCACTGGGCTTGTGTTAAATTTTTTTCTTTTTTGGTGAGGAAGATTGGCTCTGAGCTAACGTCTGTGCTGATCTTCCTCTTTTTTGTATGTGGGATGCTGCCACAGCATGGCCTGATGAGGAGCGTGTAGGTCCATGCCCGGGATCCCAACCCGCGAACCCTGGGCCCCTGAAGTGGAATGCACAGACTTAACCACTACGCCACCAGGCCAGCCCCAGGCTTGTGTTAGTTTTTGAAACAATGTTGTTGGAGACGATTTGCTCACGTGCTGAGTTTCTGTGTCTGCGTCTCTGACAGGACTCCATCTGTGGCCAAGCTCTGTCGAGCCTGACCCAGATGCCCTGGTACACAGAACCCCGGACCCCAGAATGGGGCCATGCCACTCCTGTGGCTGCTAGGTGCCTCTTCATCTGGCCTAGACTGAGCTCTTTTTGTCTAAAATACACTTCTATCTTTTCACTTGAATGTTTCTTTTGTACGTTTTTTGCTGAAGCTGTTGCTACTTTTTGTACGCATCTGATGTTTACATAATCACTTTATTTCCTATAATTCACATACTACACAACTCACCCATTTGAAGTGTACCCTTCAGTGGTTTTTAGCATATTTAGAGTTGTGCAAACTGCCACAATCTGAGTTCAGAATGTTCATGACCCAAAAATCCTGCATCCTTGGCAGTTCCTCATTTTCCTGCTGGCATGAGTGGCTGCTTATCTGCCCATTGGTGAGTTTTCACTTGAAAAATAAAAACACGTGCCTGGCTGTGAGTGTGCTGGGACCCCACCCCGAGAGTGGGCCAGTCTTCTCAGGTTCTTGTGATGCCTTTCCGTGTTTCTTCATGTGGGTTCGGGCACATACAAATACAGAGGTTTACATCACCTGTTTTATTTTTTAAAATACAAAACATGCTTTGCCTTAGGCCCCTTCTGGTGCTGTTTCTCCTGACACACCCCTGGGAACGGGTTCATGGAGAGGCCCATGCCTGCCCTCTGCTCCGAGAGGCTCTGCCCTGGGCTGGCCCTGTGGACAGGGCTGCCGTCTGGCCCTCTGCCTGAATTCGGGACTCACTCAGGCTGCGCTCACTGTGCACCTGCTGTGTCGCCTGTTGTGTGGTGCCCTCTCCCCAGCTCCCCCCAACCCTTTCCTAAAGCCCTGCCATCTCTCCCTGGCACCCAGATCTCCAGATGCACACCTGGCTCTCAGGCCATGCTTGGCCATGCCACTGGCCCGGCCTTGTCTTCTTCCTCCACCTCCGGCACCTGGTGCCTCTTGTGCTTCTTTCTCCGCAGGTTTGGGAGCGTTGGGTCCTAGAACGTCTCTTCCTGTCTTGATTCACTTGTCTTCTAGCACCTGGGCTGGACTCTGGTGCAGAGGGAGCCTGGGTGCGTGGGGGCCCTGTGTGGAGCCAACAGGCTGAGCTTCTCATGACCAGAAGGGTGATGAGGGTTCAGGGTGCTCAGTGACCTGTGCAGCCCCGGAGTCAGCCTTGTCCTGCTCATCCTCTGTTGTCACGGTGGCTGGAAATCTCGCTGTCCTTGGTTTGGGCATGAATATAATTTGTTAATTAGCCAGACATCGTCACCTTCTTGTCCTTTACAGACGTGTGCTATTGTCCCGTTCACACTGGTGAGTGCTTTGTGGAGCAACCAGTGGGCGCCGGGAGCGCTCTCATCTCCTGGGCGATCAGACTGGAAAAGTCTGAGATCAGTGATCCAAGCTACTTCTTATGTTTTTCTTGCAGCCGAGCTGAAGGAAAAGTTGCAAATAGAAATGGAGAAAAATGTCCAGATGATAGAGGTACGTACGATTGGAAACGTCATTCTGTGTGTGCAGTATTTTTCCTTTTCTCCCCATCCCTCCAACTTGCCCCCTACCCTGGAACCCTCCACAGAGGAGCCCCTGACCTTGACTTGAACGAGATCCATTCAAAGCTTTGGCTGAATGTGCTGGTGGGAAGTGTATTGCATTTTCTTTTACAGGTATGACCTTCTTTTATTTGTACAATTTGAATTTGTCACAATGACTTGTTTTGGGGTTTCGTGTTGACTTCGGTAACGTGAGGCTGTGCCATCCCGAGTCTGGTTTCTGAGTGGCCCCTGTGGTCTGGCCCTCGCTGTGCCCTGGACGTCTTCGTCCTTACAGCCGGATGTCCCAGCACAGGGGAGCACGGACTGCTGAGATGACGTGAAGTGCGTAGGGTACAGGGGCAGGGACGTCACAGGAGCCACAGAGGGAGGAGGCGTGGCAGTGGGGTGCAGAGTGCACCTGTGGGCAGAGCAGCCAGGCCTGGAGTGTTCACGCTGCTGCGGCCAGCGCTGGGTGATGTCACATGAGGGCTGTGCTTACCACTCTGGATTGTCCTGTAGTTATCCTTCTGCTGTCACCCCACACCCCCTTTTTGGGGGAAAGAGGTGTATTTTAGGGTGTAACAGAGTGAGCTCTTTTCTAAGGAAATCTCTTGCTGGAACTTTTGATCCTCGTGATCAGTCCTTTTCTCAAGGCTGAGTTTGTGGAAGGGCTGTTAGTGTGAGTGACAGTGGGGGACGTGGGTGACATCAGGGGACCTGGCAGCGTGGGGCTGTGTGTGATGGGCACGTGGGTGTCTCTGTCCTGCTGCTCTGTTTGGACAGTGGGTAGAGGACAGTCCTGAGTGGGGGCTTGTGCCCCGCCCCCACCCTCTGAGCTGGACAGCGAGACTCGTTTCTTAGGGCATTTGGGCAGAGACTTGCTCCCGGCAGAGGTCTGTGAATCACCGTAGACTCACGGGTCTTGCTTGGGGTATCGGGGGCATGGGTCATTGTGAGTGACCACAAGCCTGGGCTCTGTTCAGAGGCTGGTTCTGTGCTGGGCAGCTGGTTCTTGTCTTCTCCCTGGCTGTTTGCCTAGTGAGTGCTCCCGTCCTATCCCTTTTAGGGGTAGTGGACGGACCGAGTGGACATCGCGAGCTGGTTTCCTGTGGTGACAGTCTGGTCTGGGCAGGGTGACTGCCCACTCCAGGTTTTCGAATGTGTGATTTAAATTTTTCTACCACAGATGATCAACTATTGGCCATAATCTCCTTTTTCCTTATTTAAATCAGACCCTGAAGCAAGACTGGGAATCTGAGAGGGATTTATGCTTAGAAAACCTACGCCAAGAGTTATCTGGAAAGCATCAATCAGAATTGGAGAATTTACAAAACCAGTTTAAGAAAGAAATGGCTGAACAGAAAGCTGAGTTGGAGGAGATTTTTCAAGCCAAAAATCAGGCTGAATGTGAGTATCTAGTTAAGATGAGCAAGTTTGGAAGAGGGACGAAGTTTTCCTGTGTAATACTAGAGTGAATGTCATGTGATCTGCCAGACTTACGATTGGCCGCGAATCCCCTGTGCTCAAACCTCAGATAACCAATGTGTGTGATACCCATGGGGACGGAGGTGCGGCCCGGCCAGCTTCCCCCTGTTGATCACAGGCCACTCAGTGTCTCTAAACCTTCCTGAAACCTTTGTTTCAGAGATGGTTTTTGCACACTCCATTATTATGTTGCTACCAAAAAAGTAATATTGCGACTGTTCACTTTTTATCTGGGTTGGCTGTTACACGGTGATGCCCACCAGTCAGGAGGGCTTGTCTGCATCTCCTCCTGCCCCTGGGAGAGCAGGGGCCCTGAGAATGGGGTCTGGAAGGAGTTGGACCTGCCATCCATGGGGCGGCGCAAGCAGGGCTGTCGTTACTGACGGCAACGTGCTGCTTAATGTCGTGTTGAGAAGGAAGACGCTGTGGTGTCTTGCACTGAATGAGGCCGCTTCTGCTCTCCAGTTTCCCTTAAGACTTTGGAGGCTCAACACGAAGTGGCCTTGAGAAAGTTACACGAAGACCTGCAGTCTGAGCACTGTCAGTGCTTAGAAGACTTGGAGCTGAAGTTCAAAGGGAAGGAAAAAGAAAAACAACTAGAGGTAGGCAAGAGCTGATTTATTTTAATTACTTGGTGGAGGAAGGGAGTTTTAGAAGATTGTGGGTTGGGGTCATTTCACGTTCTTGTGTTTGCTGGAACTTAAGTACTACGTACTACAGGTAAAGAGACCCAATATTTGGCAGAGCTGGTAGATGAAGAGGTAGCGATGGAGGGTCCCTGGGGTTGATTTCACAGTCAGGTTCAGTCTGAGATGGAGTTGTTCTTGACCAGAACCCCTGAGAGGTTAGAGACCACAGACGCTGGGGATAAGGCTGCAGCCTCTGACTACAGCTCGGCAAACAAGAAGTTCCTTGGAACAGTTAACTGGAAACACTTCTACTTCTTATGTATTCAAAACTCTTTTCCGATGAAACTCTACATATCAAAATGTAGGAAGTGTGGCCAGATCTTTCTTAGAGACCTGAAGTGCACCTGTTGCCAAACCCAAGAACCAGGCAACACCCTATGCAGCAGTTCAGGAAACAAGAAAGGAAGTCAGTAGGGGACGGAGTTAGTGTTGGCCTGTGCATGGGTCTACCGAGGAGAGGAGGGTGGTCGTCGGAGCCCAGGAGGAGCTGTGTCTCATGCTCTGCAGCTCTCACACCTGCTCCCACTCCTCTCCTCCCAACAGAGGCCAGGACCTGCCAGGTGCAGAGCAGGGGTTCCTGGCAGGGCAGATCCAGGGCCAGGCTGGGGCAAGTCCCCTCCCTGCTGGCTCTCTGACTGATGGGAATGAGATGGTGGAAGGGCACCCTCTTCCTGTGCCTTGGACAAGAAAAGGCTGCAGGTGCCAGAACAACCTTGGCGCTGGCACTGCCCATGCACAGCCAAGCTCTCACATTCCTTCAGGCAGGTCCTTCAGCCCTTGTCCCTGCACTTGTGGCTCCCAACTTAGGACCAGCCTGAACCTGACCCCCCATGACAGTGGGTGGGAGCTGCTCTCAGGTCCATTGGTGCAGGGCAGGCTGGCGTGCAGCACATGCTCGGTGTGCCAGTTCTGTTCCTCTTGGAAGAAACCACTCCCCAGGAAGGTTGACCATGAAATTCAGGGAAAACCCAGACATACTACACAAGGGATGAGGGAGGGTGGTGACCTCAGATGAGAAAGAAATTCCCTGGGGTCAGTGATGTAATCTTGGGATGGGTTGGAACTTGTTAAACTCGACAACAGGGGGCCTCCTGGGAGATTGAGGGGTGCTGCTCCGTTTCTGCTGACAGCCTGGAGGAGCCCAGTCCACCCACTTTGGGGGCCCGGGGCATGCTCTGAGCTTCCTCCCGGCAAATTAGAAGGGCATGTGTTTAGGACAACAGAGAAAGTTCCTGTGCTTGCTCAGTGAGCAAAAATGGATCTGTGCAGGTAGCAGGGCCAGGGGCCGACAGGGAATGCGTAAGAGGAAAACTTGGGTCGCTGAGAGGACTGCGGCCAGGTCACGGCACATTTCACAGCAGGGGGCCGCTGTTGCTGGTCTTCTCGAGGCCGTAGGCTTGGAATTTGACCTCTTACTCCCATCTCATGCCTGTCAGATGCTGGGCACAGACGACGTGTCGCTGTGAGTTGGTGTCTCACGTTGTCGCCTTCCTTTTCCAGTTAGAGACTCTTCAAGCATTGTACGAAGATCTGAAGGCTCAGTCACAGGAAGAAATCAGGAGCCTGTGGTCCCAGCTTGAGTCTGCAAGAACCAACAGACAGGAGCCCAGTGGTGAGGAATTTCCTGTTAAAAGTTCAGATCCTCAGAAGCTAAAGCTGTGTGTTTCTAAGTGTTGAAACCCCAAACTAGAATTTAACAATTGTAGTAAGTGCAAAAAGTGATTTTGTAAACTTCTTTAAAGATTGAGTTGTGTAGTTTTAAGGTGGAAGTTGGTTTGCTGGTGGAGTCTTGGTCTCATCCTTAAGTGAGTTACTGAATAACGACAGAATCATGTGTCTTCCCCGCGTGAGCGTGAGGCACTTTGAGGTGTGAGGCTGGTGAAGCTGACCGGCGGTGCTCACGTTGGCTGAGGAGTTGTGCCTGAGTGCTGTAGGATGCAGCTCTGAGCCGGCATTTGGGGTCGCAGGGGTGCCTTGTGCACACCGCTTCCTGGGCCCCGTGCGCTCCCCAGGGCTGGGTGTGGTCAGGCTCCTGTGGCCCCGAGCTCCAGTTTTGGAGGATGACGCCCGTATCCCAGCCCCAGCAAGTGCAGCCAATCAGACTGAGGGCAGGTTGTCTGGGCGCCATCACAGGACCCTGTGTCAGAGCAGTCGTGCTCCGGGCAATGCCTTCAGCGGGGGGTGGAGAGACTCTGCAGAGCAGAACACAGACACGAACTTTCCTGCTGCTGGTCTCCAGACAGAGCCTTTAAAACCAGCAATTGCCCTTGCTGAATAAATGTTACTTGGCACAAAGAACAGATATGAGAAAGGACCAGAAGTGGTGCCCGTCTGCTGCTGTGGTGGTGAAAGTGGTGAATAAGGCCTCATGTCCACTTCCCTGTCCTGCACGCTGTCAGTTCACCGCTTGGTCCTTCTTTTGGGTCCGTCTGACACTGGTGGAGGCTGCAGGCGGGGCTGGTGGACTTACATGTAGGTGGCTGTTGTGCTTTCACACGCGTGTTTCACTTCTCACCTGTTGTGCTGGGAATCTTCTCCCTTGCATAAGGACCCTTACGGCAACTTTGAGTTGAAACCTCTGGGATAGTGACTAGTTTATGTCCACATTATTTGAAAGCTAATTATTATCGTAGACCAGCTGGCAGCGTTCTTTTGATCAAAATAGCGATGGTGACAAGTTCCTTTAGAGTGTGTGTTACTGTTCTGTTGTGTTAACAAGTCAGAGACTTACAGCTTAAAACCACACCTGTTTACCAGCTTGGAGATACATAGATCAGAAGTCTGGGATGGCACACCTGTGTTTTCTCCCTGGGGTCACCCACAGCCAGATTCAGGGTGCTGGGCTGCGCCTTGACCTGGCTCACTCAGGTGGTGGCTGAGTCAGTCACTGTGGCTGTAGGGCTGAGGTCCCCTTTCCTTGCTGGCTGTCAGCTGGGGCCACTCTTGCACACGTTGCTTGCACACGGTCCTTTCATCTTCAGAGCCCCCAACAGCATTTGGAGTACTGCTCACACTTCCCATCTCTCTGACTTCTGCCCCTAGCCCGAGAAAGCTCTCTCCTTCCATGGGGCTCGTGGGATTCACTGAGGCCGCGGGTTGTCTCCCTGTGTAAGGCCCCTGTGCCACATAGCATAAGCCATGGACAGTGCTCATGTCACATCACAGTGGGCACCCTTTTCAGAATTCTGTCCTCTGCACCACACTACAAATATCTCCTTAAATATCTTAAATCTTAAATATCTCCTCAGTTTTTCTAAGTGTTTTGTTTTAAGATGATTGTGTGATTTCATCCTATAAAAGAGTTACGTGAGCAGCCCCTGGCTCGAGGGTCCCACGTGGAAGAATTAGAACACCTGAGGCGAGACTTTGACCAGCAGCGGCAGCGAGAGAGAACCGAGCATGAATCCGAACTAGAACAATTGAGAATTTATTTTGAAAAGAAATTAAGGGATGCTGAAAAAAATTACCAAGAGGACCTGACGCTGTTGCAACAGCGGCTGCGGGAGGTGAAGGAAGACTCCCCTGTGGAGTCTGTGGAAATCAGGTAAATAAAGCAATATTCGTCTTAAATATGTTTTTGAAATAGGGGAACCTTGAGCTGAAATGAAATCTAGTTTTTTTGTGATTTCATGCCAATGGAGGGTAATAGTCTTGTGTTTTGGAAACACATTTTACGTTTGGGTCTTGAAACAAGCTGACCTCAGAGCCAGGAGCTGAGTCTGACCCGCATGCCAGGCTGTGGGTAATGACCTGCAGCCATTAGCGGTGGGCGCAGACTGTCAGGGTCCTGCCTCGCCTCCGGTGTCCCTGCCACCGTGACACTTGACCAAGCTGGGTTCAGAACTGGCTCCAGTTGCTGTCACAGACAGCACGCTCAGCCGCGGTCATCCTGTCCTCGACACAGAAGTAGGCTGTATTGGAAGGAGTAGGGAGGGTTTTCTCCTTTCATACAGTTGGATCCCAGGAAGAGAGCAGAGTTCAGATGGCAAAGTGCTGCATGTTAAGTTTTTAAGACGTTTTCTCTTTTAGTTCATCCAGTGCACTTTTGGAAGAGGCCTCTGAAAAAGACGGAAAAGACCAACTTGATCAACTCGACCTTCAGCTGGAGCAACCTGAGGTGACAGCCAATTTCTTTTTTTTTTTATTCTTTTTTTTTTTTTTAAAGATTTTATTTTTTTCCTTTTTCTCCCCAAAGCCCCCCGGTACATAGTTGTATATTCTTTGTTGTGGGTCCTTCTAGTTGTGGCATGTGGGACGCCGCCTCAGCGTGGCCTGACGAGCAGTGCCACGTCCGCGCCCAGGATTTGAACCAACAAAACACTGGGCCACCTGCAGCAGAGGGCGCTAACCCAGCCTCTCGGCCATGGGACCAGCCCCACCAATTTCTTTTCTTTTTTTTTTTTTTTTTTAAGATTTTATTTTTTCCTTTTTCTCCCCAAAACCCCCCGGTACATAGTTGTGTATTCTTCGTTGTGGGTTCTTCTAGTTGTGGCATGTGGGACGCTGCCTCAGCGTGGTCTGATGAGCAGTGCCATGTCCGCGCCCAGGATTCGAACTAACGAAATACTGGGCCGCCTGCAGCGGAGCGCGCGAACTTAACCACTCGGCCACGGGGCCAGCCCCATCCCACCAATTTCTTTTTAATTGTGGTATAATTGACATATAACATTAGTTTCAGGTGTACAATGTAGAGATTCAATATTTGTATGTACTGTGAAATGATCACCAGAATATGTCTGATTAACATCTTTCAACACACATAGTTACAAATTTCTTTTTCTTATGATGAGAACTTTTAAGACCTACTTTCTTAGCAACTTTCAAATATACAGTACGATATTATTAGGTGTGGTCACCATGCTGTACATGACATCCTAGGACTTATTTATTAACTGGAAGTTTGTACCTTTTGACCACCTTAAACCAATGTGCCCACCCTCCACCCCTTGCCTCTGGAACCACCAGTCTGTTCTTTGTATCTATGAGCTTGGATTTTTTTGTAGATTCCACATGTAAGTGACATCACACAGTATTTGTTTTTCTCTGTCTGACTTATTTCACTGAGCATAATGCTTTTAAGTTCCATCCATGTTGTTGCAAATGGCATGATTTCCTTTTTTATGGCTGAATAGCAGTCCCCTGTGTGTGTGTGTGTGTGTGTATGTGTATGTGTATGTGTATGTGTATAAAACAGACTTTCTTTACCCACTCATCCAGTGATGGACACTTAGGTTGATTCCGTATCTTAGCTGTTGTAAATAATGCTACAATGAACATGGGGTGCAGATATCTTTTCAAATTTGTGTTTTGTTTTCTTCAGATAAATACTGAGGAGTGGAATTGCTGGGTCATATGGTACTTCTATTTTTAATTTTTTGAGGAACTTCCATACGGTTTTCCATAGCGGCTGTACCAGTTTACATTCCCACCAATAGTATACAGGGGTCCTTTTTCTCCGCATCCTCGCCACAGACTTGTTATTTCTTGTCTTTTTGATAGCAGTCATTCTACCCAGCGTGAGGCGATATCTCATTGTGGTTTCGATTTGCATTTCCCTGATGATGAGTGATGTTGAGTATCTATTCGTGTGCCTGTTGGCCATCTGTGTGTCTTCTTTGGAGAAATGTTCAGATCCTCTGCCCATTTTTTAATTGGATTACTTTTTGCTATTGAGTTGGGTGAGTAATTTTTTTGTCATTGAGAAAGATTGTTTTTTTAATCTTTAATTGAGAATGGTCTGTCTTGTTATAAAATCTGAATTTCTGTCCTTTTCACAAATGCCGCCTGTGACACATGCCAAGTAAAGGAATGCTTGCTTGTGTCTTGTGAATGCACACACTGCACTATGGTGTGTTTACAACAGTACACACTGTTGGGTTCAAAGCGTAAATCAGACACGGGTGTCCAGGAGAGTCTGCTCTCCTTCCTGGGCCTGCCCCAGAGGCTCTGGTCGCACCTGCCACCGTGGGCCAGGCTTCCTGCTTCTCTACCAGCACCCTGAGGGCCTGTTGTCACACCTTCCAGGGATCCACACAGTGTGAAATTGTGCGTTTTTTGCTTTGAGTTGTGTGTTGAACGTCTTTTCCTTGCCTTTTATGTTCTTCGTTGAATCGCCTCCAGGCTGTTTCTGTCATTTTTGACATTTGTAGATAGCACTGTCCAGACAGAACTTTCTGTGACGATGGAAATGTTCTGAATCTGTGCTGCCAGTGCGGTGCCACCAGCACATGGCTGTGAGCACTTGAAGTGTGACTGTGGAACGAGGTTTCCTTTTGTTCAGTGGTGGTTACTTCAAGTGTCTGTAGCCCCTGGGTTTCCTGGCCACTGTCCTGGGCGGGCAGCACTCACACGTGGTGGAGCACCCTGGCCTTGTGCAGTGTACTCTGCCCCCTGTGAGCACCAGCTTCAGTCTAAACATCTGTTGTTCTCGGTCTTTTAGGTTGTGTCTTAGTCGGCTTGGCTGCCGTAACAGTACCACAGACAGCAGCTTAGACAACAGACGTTTGTCATCTCTCAGTGCTGGCTGGAAGTCTCAGAGCGAGGTGCTGGCTGGTTTTTCCTGAGGCCTCTCTCCTTGGCTTACAGACAGCCGCCCTCTTTCTGCCTCTCCGCGTGCTCGTCCCTCTCTGCACTTGCGCCCCTGCTGTCTCTGTCTGCAAGTGCAGTCATGTTCTGTGCTGGGTTAGGATGTCACTGCAGGAATTTGGGGCACCCCGTTTGCTTCATCCTGTGACAGGCTGCTTCCAGTTTCGTGTTGTTAACATCCTTTGTCTAAGTGTCTGCGTCCACGTGGTGGTTTGCTAGGGGTGAGAGTGTGGGGGATGGCAGCTCCCTGCCTTGCACTTCTCCTCTGGGCCACGTTCCCAGTGGGTGTGATGCCAGTGTTATAGCCATCCCCCTGCTTGGCATGCGTCTGTCTCCTTGTCTGCTGCCCTCTGCTGCCCTGCCCCGCTCGGCACTGCCCTCGGGATCTCCTGCTCGCTGCTGTCCTGGGGTTGTCCTGCTCTCCATTGCCCGTGGTCCTTCCCCTCTGGCCAGCCCTGCACCCACACTGCCCGTGGCGCAGATGTGCTCTGTCTGCGTTTACTCCCTTTCCTTCCTGTGCCTGTTCCCTTAGTGTAGCGTGAAAGGGCGTGTGAGGAGCACACCCTGGGGCCTCGCATGGCTGAGAGCTTGTTTCGTCCTGGTGTGTGTTTGACTGGGTGTCACATTTGGAAGGTGGCTCTGTTGTCTTGCCCGCTGAGTCTCCTTCATGAGCAGCTTGTGCTCCCAGCAGCTCTCAGGCCCTGCTGTGTCCTGGTGTTCTGCAATAGCGATCTATCTGTGTGTATCTGTTTTTCATGCTAGGAACAAGGGGGGCCCTGAATCTGAGACTCCTCCTTCACTTCTGGGACGTCCTGTGCTTTTCTGTTTGTTTGGATAACTTTTCCTCCATGTTCTTTGTAACTCTTGTAAGCTTCACGCTTGACCTCAAGAATGAAGCCTCTGGGTTTCTTAAATTTTCATTTCACATCTTATGTTGCTTTTGCTTCTGTTTTTTTGGGTGGGAGACTTTTCTCTCCTCTAATTCTTCAGTTGAGTTTCTTGTTTCCAGTATCAGTTTTAATTTCTAGGGCCTTAGCTTTTTTGATCTGTGTTCTTTTATACATCCTCCCATTCAGTGTTATGGTTGGGGTATTTTGCTCACATCTCTGAAGACAGCAATTAGTGTCAAAGGTTTCTTGTGTCTCCTGTGTGTCCTTGCTGTGTGTCTGTTCCTGTCCTGTCCTGCTGTTGCTGTGTGTGTTGTGTTGAACGTAGGTGTTCCCTGCGTTGGGTGGTGACCTGTGGCCGTGCCTTCACAGGAGGTGTGAGGCACCATTGGGTCTTGGGGAGCCCTCTGAGCAATGGCAGAGCTCTACTTTGGGGTGCTGGCTATTGGACTTCCCTCCCAGGACCTCCTGCTGGGGTCCCTAAGGAGAGGAACCAGAGGGGTCTGTGCTGCACCCCACCTTAGTGGGCCAGGTCCTTACCACCTCCTGCACACCCAGACTCTCTGGTCCACAGCCCCTGGGGGTGGGTGTGCAGTCGCCTCCGCCCACTGCTGCAGCCTCCCGGGCATCTGGGCAGCTCACACGTGTCTCTTCTCTTTCTTGTGTGCCAGCCAGGAAGGTACAGCATCCAGTGATTTCTGGCTTCCAAGTCGGTCAGCTTTGGTTTGTTTCTCTTTTTTTTTTTTTAAGTTTTTTATGAAGTTAATGATAGGTTACCATCTTGTGAAATTTCAGTTGTACATTAGTGTCTGTCAGTTGTGTTGTAGATGCAACCTTTCACCCTTTGTGCCCACCCCCCCCCCCTCCTTTCCCCTGGTAGCCACTAATCTGTTCTCTTTGTCCACAGGTTTAAATTCCTCATATGAGTGGAGTCATACAAAGGTCGTCCATCTCTATCTGGCTTATTTCACTTAACATAATTCCCTCAAGGTCCATCCATGTTGTTGCAAATGGGACGATTTTGTTCTTTTTTACGGCTGAGTAGTATTGCATTGTATATATATATACCATATCTTCTTTATCCAGTCATCTGTTGATGAGCACTTAGGTTGCTTCCACATCTTGGCGATTGTAAATAATGCTGCACTAAACATTGGGGTGCATAGGTCTTTTGGAATTGCTGACTTCAAGCTCTCTGGATAGATACCCAGTAGTGGGATAGCTGGATCATATGGTAGTTCTATTTTTAACTTTTTGAGGAATCTCCATACTGCTTTCCATAGTGGCTGCACCAGTTTGCATTTCCATCAGCAGTGTATGAGGGTTCCTTTTTCTCCACAACCTCTCCAACATTTGTTACTATTTGTTTTAGTTATTTTTGTCATCCTAATGGGTGTAAGGTGATATCTTAGTGTAGTTTTGATTTGCATTTCCCTGATGATCAGCGATGATGAACATCTTTTCATGTGCCTATTGGCGATCGTATATCTTCTTTGGAGAAATGTCTATTCATGTCTCCTGCCCATTTTTTGATCGGGTTGTTTGATTTTTTGTTGTTGAGTTGTGTGAGTTCTTTATATATTATGGATATTAAGCCTTTGTCGGATGCGTTACTTGCAAATATTTTTTCCCAGTTAGTGGGTTG